GGAGCTCAGGGTTTTTTAGCAAAAGCACCCATTTTTCTTGTATGCCCCTTGAAAGAAGCCTTTCTCTACTCCAAACTCGGAAATTAGGCACACAAAACTGCATTCGGTGACAAAACTTTTTAAAACTATGATACTGCTAACTCACACACCACATACCTTCTTATATCTCTGAAAGTTTCAAACATACATATGTGAAAGATTTATCACTTTGAGAACACCTCGATGAACAGGAAAAGCAAAACAAAAGGTAGGATTATGTGGGAAAAAAAGCTTAAGTCATCTTCAAAAATGGTATCTAGCTAACTTGACAAAGAACTACTAGACAAGAGTAGCTAAAAACAGATGTAGTCAGCAGCTAGATTCATCACAAATAAAGAAATCATCAGAAACGTGTAAATCAAGTCAATTTAGGCAAGGTTCCACTTTCTGAATACCAGAAGGGAGGAAAAAAAACGTAATAATCCTAATGGTGAAATAGCTTCTTCTCGGAGCACAAAGTTGTCTTGAGAATTCCCTGGTGCTCCAGTGTGTAAGACCCCATGTTCCCAATGCAGGGGGCCTCGGTTCAACCCTCGGTCAGGGAATTAGACCCCACATGACGCAGCTAAGAGTTGGCATGCCACAACTAAAAGATTCCATGGGCTGCAACTAAGACCTGGCCAGCCAAATAAATAAATAAATGTTTTGTTTTTTAAAAAAGGAAGTGATCTTTATAGCTTGACACAAAGTAAAACAATGCTCTTGGTTTCAGCATTATCTGAATTAAATGAAATTCAGCGGGAAAGAAAAAATGTGAATGCAATTGACAATAGCTCTTTGACATCAACTGTCTAAAAATAAAACTTTGAAAATGTAGTTTTTGTTGGGGAGAAACCTTTTCACAAAACATGAGTATTTCCTAGGGCCCTGTTTTCTATTCAAATCCATACACTGTCTCTTAGACATTTTTTTTCCTTCAGCATCACCGGGTAACGACATTTGGCACCTTATAATATCTGCATATATGTATGTGTTTAATGAAGATAGGAAGGAATACTTACTCTTTTTCTAAGTTTTGTAACAAAGGTGTCTTTTTGGTTTGAATCTGTAGAGACCAAGGGGCTCAATTTTAATATTTTCACAAGTTCCTGAAATACTGCTCAATCATCACTTCATGAATGAAATATTTTAATCATTTAAATGGAAATGTGAAAGAGATGATTTCCAAAACTAAGAATATATATTATTCATAAAAAACAACAAAAATAACTTTTGGACAAGACTGTAATTTTTGAGTGTGGTTTCCAAGTATATAGAAGATATGGTTTAAAATGTTGAACACTACCACTAACATTTTTCTACTTTACTTTCAAAAAGTTAACTGATACTGAAAATATACATACAATTATTTTAATAGTTATTTATCCTGTTTTGATAACTTCCTTGATGTTTTAGGAGATCTCAGAGTTAATCCATTCATTCTTTTCATCATGAAATGAAAACTTTGGGACACCAAGATAGAGACTAAACAAAGAAGTCTGTAGGTTCTTTATTCCTTATTTAATATAGATTCAAACACTATCAGATGATCTGTTTTACCTTCTCAAAGAGGAAGTAGTCAATAGTTTAAGTGATCCTGAACTCCTGATCTGGGGCTGCTCAACTAGCAGATGGTAAATTTGACATACAGGTAAAATGGGATGAGATATTCTGACCCTTTGCATATCCCAGGGAATGTACTAAGGATCCATGCTTAGTTATAACTGTGCCCTTGTTGAAATCTCATTTCAACTCTCACCTGACTTGAGATACAAGTGTTCTCTTAATCTAACTTAGGGAGATTTTTAATAAGTCAAACCTAAGAGGTTCAATTGGGGAATTAGTGAACATTAGTCAATACCTTTTACAGTGAGTATAAACCCTGCTTTATAGTAAAAGGAAATGGTGAACTTGGTTTACCTTGGAGCTAAATATCATTGCTCTAAATTTTTAATCTCTTCTATTTCTAATGAGATGAAGAAATACATATGGAGGTAGCCGTATTTTCAGATCTCACTGGCACAATATCACAAAAAATCCCACTTGCCCCTCATTTATCAATGATAGTGAACAACATATTCTGTTAACCTAGTTTCAAAATAAACATAAAAGCAAAAAACCAGAGTCCATACTACATTGTAATCTGCTTTTGGACTTAAAATAGTAAATATTTTTCCAAGTTATATTCTCTACATAATTTTTAATGGCTTGACAGATTCCAAGTATAGATATATCATAGATTCGAAACATTTGGGGCTTCCCTTGTAGCTCAGTTAGTAAAGAATCTGCCTGCAGCACAGGAGACCTGGGTTTGATCCCTGGGTGGGGAAGAGCCTCTGCAGAAGGAAATGGCAACCCACTCTAGTATCCTTGCCTGGAAAATCTCATGACACAGGAGACTGGGTGGGCTGCAGTCCACGGGGTCGCAAAGAGTCAGGCACGACTGAGCAACTAACACTTCCTTACTTACTTAAACAACATTTTATTTTTGGGTATTTAGGTTGTTTCAGGTATTTAACTATTAATATAAATAAAGCTGAAACAAGCACTAGCATATTTTTATACACATCTCCAATTATTGTTAAATTCTTAGAAATGCAATTATTGAGATAAGTTGTGAATATTTTTTTCCAATCTTTAATTTTTTTAAGTGTATTTTGATGAGGAAGTTCTTAATTTTGATGAAATACAATTTATCATTTTTTTTGTTTTTTATCTAAAAAATCTTTACATTACCCAAGATCACAGAGATTTATCTCTTGTTTTATTCTAGTTTTCTCTCATGTTTAGATTTTCAAGTTAATCTTTGTGTATATCATGAGGCTAGGAATGACTCATCATTTTGCATATGGATACCCAACTGTTTCAGAATCATTTGTTGAAATGATTATTTTTGCCTATGATTTACTCTGGCACTTTTTTGAAAGTCACTAGATGTTACATCATGTGCACACCTCCATTTTGCTTTGTCTCGTTAATTTCTCATTTTGCTAAAATTACATGTAGGGTACTGTAGTTTTAAAGTTTTGAGAATTCCCTGGTAGTCCAGTGCTTAGGACTTGGCACTTTCAATCCCTGGTTGGGGAACTAAGATTCTGCAAGTCATGCAGCACGGCTAAAATTTTTTTTTTAAAATAAAGTCTTAAAATCAGATAGTGTAATTCCCATTGTTCTTATTTTGGCTACTCTAGAGCCTTTGTATTTGCATATAAGTTGTAGCCTGTTGAACTACAGATAGATCAATACACCAATTTGAGAAGAGGTGAAATCTTAACAATATTGTCTTCCAATCCTTGAACATGGTATCTTTCTCATTATTTAGGTATTCTTTAGTTTCTCTCAGCAATTTCAGTATACAGGTCTTGAACATACTTTGCTAAATATATCCTTCAGTATTTCATGTTTACTGGTGCTATTGACATGATTTTTGATTCTTAACTACAATTTACAATTATTGTTGCTATGATGAGCTTTTTTTTTTTAACTGATAAAATTTTTATTTCACTTTTGAGTTTTTATACTTTTCCTGATTATTCCGTGTAAGGTGGAAACTAGAACTGTTTAAAAGACGTACACAAATCTAGTACATCAATAACCGGGGTTTTTTCTTTTTTGCTATACTATTTTCACAACCACGGGTGTGCTTGCTAGGCAATATAACCACATGATGAGCATTTTTAAGGTTCTTGGTAAACACTGTCCTTTACGAAGGTCGTACCAGTTTGTATATCTAACAAAATATGAGAATGCTTGTCTGACCACACTTTTCTAAGTACTTGTCTCATTTAAAACTTTTTTCCTCCCAGATACGATTTTCTCTTCTTGGGAAGATTTATCATGGGATCTCACCCACAGAAAGTTTGATCATATACCTTGGTTTATAGCACATCATCATCACTGTTCTTTTCATTTAGTATCTTTTTACCTCATTTCCTGCTCCTGTTCTACTTTTTGCTCTATGTGCAACCTTCTTCTCGTCCTTAGGAAACCATCCTATATTTGACATGTTTTTTTGAGTATTTTCTTTAAAACATTTTTGTGTCCATGTATTTTAAATGTATACAAATGGTATTATATTATAGACTTCATTATTACTTTCACTAAACGCTGCATTTTTTAAAACATATGCATATATGGTCAGTATATGTAGTCCTTTGCTTCTGTGTAATGCATAGTACTATCTGTGTGTTTCCACTATATTTTACCTATTCCCCCACCTCCCCAAAGGGATTAAGAATCCTAGGTTCCGACTCCCCTGGTAGTGCAGTGGCTAAGACTCTGTGCTGCAATGCAGCAGGGCCGGGTTCAATGCCTGGTCAGGGAACTAGATCCCACATGCCATACCCGAGAGTTCGCGTGCTGTAACTGAGACTCTGCACAGCCAATAAATACATTAAAAAAAAAAAAAAAAAAGAATCCCAGATTCACTCTAAACTACTGCCCAACAAACCCCAAAAATGAGATCAATATCTTTGTTTTTGTTTCTTTGGAGACCTGTTTAAGACTTCTTGAGGACACATACCCAGAAACAATTTATTAATAATATCTATATTTATTTAACTAAATTCTGCCAGATTGCTCTCCAAAATGGTTCTACCACTTTATACTCTCAGCACCAGTGTATGTATACCCTCATCCCCATTAACACTTGACATTACCCATCCTTCTGCTTGTTAGTCTACTAAGTAGAGAGAGATTATACTGTTGCTTTAATATGAACCCTTCTGATTACTAATGAGTTTGAGCATATCTTTCTGTTTTACAAGCATTGTTATAACATTCTTCTATTGGTAACTTGCTTTGTTTTTTTGATGATCTAGTTATTTCTTATCATATTGTAGGTACTAGTTCCTTGTTGGATTTAGACATGAAAATATATTCTCCAATACTGCCATCTATTATAAATTAACAAAATCTTTTTTCTTAGGACTTTTTTCCAGTGATCTGTTGTTGAATAATGAAGTACTCAAAACCTCACAAGCTGAAAACAAATATTTTATTTTGCTCAATATTTTGGGGGTCAAAAACTAGGAGAGGCACCACTGGGTGGTTCTCCTAATTTCCACTGCAACAGCCAAGGCAGCTGGGGCTGGAGAATCCATTTCCAGAATGGCTGCTTCACTTACACTTCACTTCTTCTGGTTCCGTGGTGCTCCTCGACCTCTCTACTCGCTGTCTCAGCTTCCAGGGCCTCTTCTCACGCTCTTGGGCTTCTTACGACATACAGATCTCAGAGAACTGTAGTTTTTACTTAGTGGCTGGCTTCCAAGAAGCAGGAAGCAGAAGCTGTCAGGCAAGTTAACAACAGCACCTGGAAATGCACATCATCACCTCTACCATGGGTTTCCCTGGTGGCTCAGTCAGTCAAGAATCCACCTGCAATGAGGGCGACCTGGGTTTGATCCCCGGGTTGTGAAGTTCCATTGGAGGAGGGCATGGCAACCCTCTCCAGTATTCTTGCCTGGAGAATCCCCATGGACAGAGGAGCCTGGTGGGCTATAGTCCAAGGGGTGGCAGAATCGGACATAACTGAGCGACTAAGCACAGCACCTCTACCATATTCTCTTGCCCAAATTTAAGGAAATGGAGAGATGCCACCTTCTGACGACACTCTAATATTATGTTGCATAACATGTGAGCTGGGAGATACTGTTGTGGCCAACTTTGGAAAAGAGAGTCTGCCACATTTTTCTTTTGTGAATTATCAAACCATGGTTTAGTCCTTCCATCTTTTCCAATTGATTTATAAAAACTTTTTATATTACATATCTCAAAATGTTTCATTTATAAAAATTATATTTTTTACAAGTTTTTCTCCTCAGGTAGAAGAATATAAGACAGTTTCATTTGCTTCACTGTTAAGTTTCCTTCTAAAAATGTTTTATTAGGATGAGAAAATTAACACTATGTATCTCAAAAAACTAATGATATATATTACAAGATCTCATCCATTTCACAGATTTCTTTAAATTAACCCCATAATATTAAAAATTCAAATTATATGGTACGATTATAACGAGTGGCACAAAAAGTTTAAAATTACTGATGTCTACATTTTGACTTTCTAATACAATGGGCCTTTTATTTCTCATCATAAACTGCACATACTTTACATCTTTGGTTAACACTAAAATAAAAAGGAAAAAGTTGGCCACTCTTAAAACAACTTCAATGACAATAGGGTCCTCACTCCCTCAAAAAGACTTCTTTAAAAACAATTTAAAACCCAGAGACATATATTAGAGAGTTTAAAAAAACAAACTACAAAAGCAGTTTACAAATATAATTGTTTTTGGCTAGTAAACACACACAGAACTGTTTTCTTCTATCTTGTGAATTTAATGACTTCTAATATTTTCTTAATAAAACTTTTCAAAAATATGTATTTCACGAGAGTATCGGGCAAGAAGTAACACTGCCTTCAAGTGAAACTTGTCTGAAAATGACAAGTTATTCGTCTCTTCATTAACTAAAGACTGATAATAATAGAAAAGCAAACTAAGCTATATACCCTGGGTTTTTTTAGATGACAAATTCTGGCACTTTGTGCTAACATTTAAGGTAATTATTAACTCATTTTTCCCTACCACACAGAAATATAATGTGCATAGCATTTTAATTATAAAACTGTAACATGACAAGAATCCTTTATTAAGAAAATGTCCTTATCACAAATATTTCAGATCAAAAAAAATGGTTTTAAAAGTTGAAGCACATTAACTTGGAAAAACAAATTCCAAACTAAACAAAAATGTCATTTAAGTTCTAGAACCACAAAGGCACACTAAGAAAGTCAAACAAAAATAAGGAAGGGAGAGGACACAGCAAAATGATCTCTTAAGGTCTTCTGAACCTTTAAGATACAGCTAGAATCCTTTAAGTGGCAGGATATATGCTAATGATCTTGCTCTCTTTCAGATGGAAATGAATTAATGTCTTTTACTTTAGACGTAGTATTTTGAAGTAACTGTTGGTTTGCTGAGTCTTGCCCATAAAAATCATATGACTAATACTCTAACTTCAAAAAATGAGGCTCATCAGAGCAAAAATAACGTATGTTATCTAACAAATATATGCAGGAAAAAAATCAGAAAATAAAATTGAGAAGCACGGAAAACATTTAAACAGGTCTCCTCTCTCTCCCGGAAAGGCGGGGGTGAGGGGCGCCAATACCCTCCGCGTGCTGTGCTGCGCTCAGACCCTCAGTCGTGTCTGACCCTGTGACCCCACGGACTGCACCCCGCCAGGCTCCTCTCTCCATGCGACATTTCAGGCAAGAACACTGGAGTGGGTTGCCATTTCCTCCTCCAGGGGATCTTCTCCACCCAGGGGTCAAACTTGCGTCTCCTACATCTCCTACACTAGCAGATTCTTTACCACTGAGCCACCTGGGAAGCCCATGGTTAACAGTACTGCAATTTAAAAACAAACGTATGAAACTTAAGAAGACAAAATACACATACAAGTGCACAAATTACACTCAACAATTCCTCCTCTTCAAACAATGTAAGCAAAAAGCAAGGGCCAAATTCTGAAGGAGTGATTTACTGTCTTCTATATCCACTTTTACCACTCACCAATGTTCACAGATACAGAAACACATTAATAAGAGATGCTTACTTTCAGCAAAGTGAACAATTAAATATAGGGAAATGGAATTAGAAAGGACTTAAGTAAAAGCCTCAAATAGATACTCCTACTCCTCCCCCCAAAAATGTTTCCAAATTTTGGCTATAACCTAAAATGAAAACAATTTTTTGTTATCTCCCAAATTCTACTGCTGCATAGGTCAGAGATATTACAGGTTTAGCTCCAAGACACCACAATAAAACAAATATCTCAATAAAGCAAGTGATGCAAATTTTGGGGTTTCTCTGGGCATATAAATGTAATGTTTACACTATGGTGTAGTCTGTTAAGTGTGCAATAGCATTATGCCTAAAAAAACAACATACAGACCTATAACTAAAAAATGTTTAATTGGGACTTCCCTGGTGGCCCAGTGGTTAAGACTCCATGCTTCCACTGTAGGGGGCTCAGGTTCAATCCCTGGCCTGGGAACCAAGATGCTGCATGCCACAAGTTGTGGCCAAAAAAGAAAAAAAAATTTTTTCAATTGCTAAAAAATGCTACCCCTCATGTGAAACTTCAGCAAGTCACAGCAGTAACATCAAAGATCACTGATCACTGATCATAACAAATATAATAATGAAAAAGTTTGAAATAGTGTGAGAATTACAAAATATGAGACACAGAGACACAAAGTAAGCAAATGCTATTGGAAAAATGGTACTGATGCTTCATAAACCTTCAATTTGCAAAAATAAATAACATGCAAAAGCTGCAAAGTGCAACAAAGTAAAGCACAATAAAACAAAGTACGCTATACCTGAAACTAAGTTTGTGTCCCTTTTTTGAATGAACACCAGAAACAAAGGCTTTCACTTATTAACACCTAAGTCAAGAAAGTTACCCTTTGGCTTATGTCTCATTGAAAGAAGTTTCACCAAACCCATGCAAACCTAAATTTCAAAAGGACAGCTTTTGACACATCTACGCAATTCAAAACCTTAGGGATTATCTTCCCCACTAGGCAGTGGATTTTGATGTATTTTTTTCTGAAACTACTGTTGACTTTATGTTTTACAAAACACATTTTACACCAGGAGCAGAACTAGAGTAGTACAGATGGAAACCAGGGTACAAAATAAAGAACTCTGGGGCCAAATGTTACAATTCTTGGGTATAAACTCTTCCCATTTAGTGAAGAAGTGTGTCCACTAGTTAAATGTCCAAAGAACGAGGGTTCTTTGCAAATGCATTAAGCTTATCTCTAAACTTACATACACCCATCCACTCTCAGAGCACCTTCTTATGAACTGTTTGTTCTGCTTAACTCAAATCTGAGGTAGCCTGGCAGTTTAAAATGTATGTATCTTTTTTCAAAGAAAATCGTGCTTGGTTTTGACTAATTCTGAGTGATTCTACAAACCTATAACTTCCAGCTATCCAGTTTTCCTAAGATACAAAACTCACTCATTATACTATTAAATCACCAAAACATAACCAATATGGACAATACAGATCATTTAGAAATAAGTGTCTCAATCTTTTTACAAGTGGAAAGTTAGCTAATATTCTGAGACACACTGGGGTGAGGTCAGAGGAAAGGAAAAGGCTTTATGGATTACAAAACACTTTTTACATCAGCTGCAGAACTGAAGTTACCTGATTAGCAAGCCAACAATATCAGTCTGCCAACTTAAACCTGAAATCATGCTCCAAAAGAAAGACACATACAAACCCATCTAGCTCTGCTCCTCCTTTTTCCACCATTAGTATCTCTCAACTAGTCAAGCACTGAGCAAACTCAGACAAGAGCGAAGTTATGAAAATCCATTTCATCACAAAACAGCAAAGGGCTTTTCCATTATATATGAAGTGGTGTAACGCACTGACACAGAAACCGGTTTCAGATGCTTTCAGTTACACCAAGAAAAAAAGGGAACATACTTTCTTACTTTCTCTATAAATAATTTCTGTAATGTGGCCTGCCACTCCAATCTAAAAACTGATACCTGACTTCCAAAGCATCTACTGTACGTTACTGGAAATCCCCTACTTCACCAAACTTGAAAGAACTTCCTAGACACCAGAAATAGTGAGGTCCAAGTTTGCAGAGTAGGTAAGGCAGATGATGACCTGCTTAGCAATCTGGTGTCATCCTGAGATGTTAATAGGGGCAATTAAATGGCAGTGCACAGTGTCTCCTTTTGCCTGATACTGAGAAAACACCCAATAACAAAGGTCAAACTGTCCCAACATGCACAGGAATCTTATTAACACAAGGAAGAGTAAATCTGATTCCCATAAAACTTTCCTAACAACTTCCGAGCACCAGAGGAGCCACAGGGGCTTGTTTCCTAGAACTAAAGGAACTTGCGATACTGGCATTTGCTTTATATCTATTTTTGCACACAATTCCTTCCTACAAACAACTGCAAAACACTCCTCCGAAGGCTTCAAAGTTTAACATCACATTCAAGCCAACAGAAAAGCATTTCACAAGCAGGAACGGCCGGCCACCGCCTCGCAGCATTAGCAAACAAGGGCAAAGTTCACAACAAGCAAGAGAAAGTGAATCACACGTTCACCAACGACAGACTCACAACTCGTGCAAATTCTTACACCTAAAACAAAAGAGACAACACCCAAGCTACAGCCGTCCACCCTTTCCAAAATCCCAGCTCGTGCATAAATCCCACCAGACCACGAAAAAGAGCCCAACCTAACCCCAAACAGGGTCGTAAGCATCAACGAGTACCAGGACAGAGTGGAACGCTATAAGAAAGAGGGGAGGGGCGCAGGGCACAAACCACAACAAAATAAAGCAGACTCTGAAACTTTCAGGCGCTAGCCACAGAGAAATTTCAAAGGCAGAAGGCCAAACGGCCAGGGTCCTACCAAGTTGGGGCCCCCCTCACAGAGCCTGTAGCCGCCAAAGGCCCCCCTGGCCAATCTAACCACAGCAGGCCACCAAATTAACCCGTCAGACAGCTCTCCCACCTCCCAAACACACAACTAACAGGCCCTTAGCAACCTGGGGGCTGCTGGGGGCCCTCTAACGATTCAGAGAGCCCCCCAAGCCGTCCGGAACAGCAGAAACTCCAAACTCCTGCCTCGGCGGCGGCCATCACAGCAAGAAAGCGAACTTTTACGACAACTCCCACAATGCCTGCGGCCTACAACTCCCAGAGTGCACCGGGCGGCGCCATGGTTAACCCTGTCGTGGCGCCGGGACTGACGAACCCTGCTCTCCTACCCATCCCAACTCCTAGTTGTTGCACCTACTTTTACCCTCACAATCTAAAACTAACTTAGGAAGTTTTGTCAAGCAGCTACAGTTATACTATCTCAGCGCCTTCTTTTATCACACAAACAACGCCAACTGCCCAGAAAATTATCCCTGACAGAGAACTTTTTGTTATCTCCAGAGCTCTCCTCACAGTGCCAAGTGTTTTGTCAATCAAGGGGACACTTAACTTCAATTAATCTTCCCCTTCGCTATAACTTTCTGGCGTTTTTCTAAATTATTATAGCCTAGAGGTTTTGGTACTCAACTTTATTAGTTTAAAACCTGTTTCCGAAGTTTTGGGAAGCAACAAGAAAGACTAGTCTATAACTGGCCACATATGTTCTACATCTCTCTATTTTATAAAGACGAATTTCCTCAAATATTTGACTAAGAAAATTCATGCAAGTCTAAGTAAGTCCTAATAAGACAAAATTAGTTATGGGCAATATATCTTTTAAATTTCAAGGTAATTTTTTTTAAGGGAAAACCTTATATGCCAACATACTTTGCTTTCCCTTTTCTATATTGATAATCAGATTACAGCATAAACCGTTGCTTTCTTTCTTTCTGACTTTAAAATATCAGCAAACAACAGGTAAAAAAACATTTTAATATAATTTGAAAAATAAATGAAGATTTCATTCTTTCAGAAAACTGCACAGCAAATCTTTTACTCACGAAAAAACTCCTTCAAAGTCTTTCTCATTTTAATTAAAAATGAGGTTTAAAATACATTTCTTTTAAGTATATTGCCCATAATTTCAGAAAAAAATGACAATCACATCTAGAGATCACTGTGTTATCAATATTAATTAAATGCCTAAGCTGTAGTTAACAGAAAGGAACCTGCTCAGACCTGTAACTGACTGACAGACAAAATAATTGCTTGGTATTTGATGCGTGCAGTAAAACAACAACTAGAATTCTCCTAAAGTATCTGCCATTTTTCTCATACTCAAATATAAAATAAAATGTACACAATATCTGATTTTTTCATTGAAACATTTTGCCATTTGAAGGGGCATTCAAAATCTATCATGAATTTCGAATCACAAAACTCAGAAATCCTAATACATAAACAAAAACCCAAAGCCTTGTTGTTAAGATAGGTCCTCAGCAAAACTATTCTACAATATTCTATTTTAAACGTGTCTCTTCATATTACATTTAGCTTATTAGTAAAGGTTTTGGTCTAGTAAACTGCAATGAGAAAATACTTATCCATTTATTTTTTTCACTCGTGTCACACTATGTTGTTTCATTAACAACTGAGATAAATGCTACATAACAAGACATAAAAAATTATACATACATAGATATTATGAAGTTTAGTTCATTATACTATTTTAGCCTCTGTATTTTTCTAATTTTCACTTAACACTTTAGTTAGAATTTAGCTAGAAGAAGTTGCATTTTTTTCTCCTATTTTTAATAGCTGCCAGACTATAAGCATTTAACGCATGTTTTATATATTACTCTCCTGATGTTAAAATATATGATTCATAAGAAAGACTCAAAATCAAGTCAGAAATGAAACTTATCTCCTCGTATATGTATTACATGCTTACAGCTCTCTACTCAGTGCTATGAGGTCATATTTTCCATTAGGAGGTTAGTCATTTTTTCTTTTCTTTTATCCTTTAAAATATGAGATTTTAAAATTGGTATATTAGAAAGATGCATTTAAAGATTACAATAGAAGTAATTTTGTTTTTTTTCAGGTTACCATAGTTCTTCTTTTAAAAATAACTTAGCAGTTTAGTATATCCTAATTAAGTAATTCAAGTAAGTCTTAACCTATATACTTAATATTAACATGAGTTTCTTCCTAAGGAGGAAACAAATATATTCTAGAAATAAATTCTTCAAATTCATACCAAAAATTCAGTATTTTTCTCCCAAAGGTTTTAGGTTCTGTTTTTTCACATGAATTTTTTACGTGTATTTCTTAAAAACCTAAATATCTATACTGTAATTTTTAAAATATTCACATGTAACTATATTAACCTATTTAAAATTAGGAGAAATCTTGTTTATTCTTGAGAATATATGTTAATAGAAGTCAAACATTGCAATCTATTTCTTTTTCCAAATGTGGTATTGGTGACAAAGCTAGAATGTACAGATTGCAGATCTTACAACAGATTCTATATATAATTTCAGTAAGTACTTCTTTTATTCTTTTAACCCATAAAATACTTCAAAGCATCTCTAAATGTTTAGACATTTTAATTGCATTTTTAGTTTATCTACCTTAAAACATCTGATTTTCATATATGTAATTTATACTGTTCATACACGTAAACTGTACTAATAGAATTTCTCCCCAAAATAGAATGAGCTGCTAATATTCTATTATGCTCAAAAAGTTAGTCTGTCTTTTCTTCTCTGACATTATCAGTATTACACGAGCAAAAACTGAAAAGAGGTACACACACAGGACAAGTTCTTGCCTGATTTAAACTAATTGTTTATATTTACGTTATGACCCTTACAAAGCAATATTTAGTCTATTCCAGACTTTAAGCTTCTCTCTCAAACCTTAATTACGTTTAATTCATTGGCCTGCTTTTAAAACAGTGACCAGTCTTTCAAATTTATCAAAATAGTCTACTTTTTATTTCCATATACGTTTACATTTATGTTTAGGAATATTCTACTTGTCTGAAAAATCTCTAGTTTCTGATTGTTCTAAATATAGTTTTAACTTTATGTCTAAATACTTAGGAAAGCTGGAATGATGGGAATTCTATTATCATGTCAGTCTGTGAGGAAGCGCAAAAAAAAGGGTCTCCTTTTTTTCCGGGAAATTGATCTTTTTAAATCAAAGTTTTCCAACTACTTTGTTTTATTTAATTTAAAAAAGCTTGCTTTCTCTTCTCTTCATAATGTTTGGCATCAGTTAGGATAAGCAAAGCTTAAGTATATGTTACTTCTTTTCTCTAATCGAAATGCTATCTCTTCAACAGATTGATAAACAATGGAAAACGTTTCCTTACCTAAAGATGATACGTTTCACGTTTAAAAACAATCTTCATGGTTCATCAGGAGATAAAACTTTTTAGATTTTCCTATGGAAATGAAAAACATACAGGTTAATAAATATGATAACTTTCTACTCTGTAAAAAATCATTATAGGATGATGGCTATTTGAATCTTTTTAGTCATAATTTTAGCCAGCAAGGCCTAAATATAATTTAATTAAATAGATGCTGTCAATTAAAAAGTCATCCTGTTTTACTGTTAAAATTTTATCACAGAACCATCACAAGGTAGTAGTTTCTTATCCTTACTTGATCTGTTATTCTGTCACTGGTATATCTTGTTCTTATGTATATGGCTCAGTAGTTTTAATACTCTTTCAATATATTGAAGCCATTAACTATCTTTATGTATTTTAAGATTTTTCTAATACATAATAATGCCCCCTCTATATATATTTTCTATAGTCTAAATATCAAATCAATATATGAAAGAAAAAAATCCAAACCCTAAACTTTCTTTCAAAAGGCTTTTTGTAACAACAAATCAATTTCTGCAAAAAGATGTGTAAAACGATACATACTCTAAGGTAAAAATACTAATACTTTAAGACAGAATAAGATCTAGGCTGAACTTTTAAAAACAATTATTCTGCTCCTCCCTCTTCCTCTTTGTGCTGATAATTTTTTCTCCACTTTAATTCAGGATTACATTCATTAACTCACATCATGCCTTTTCTCCAAAGAAAAATTACCTTCTTCTTGGAAAATTTTCAGATTCCTTATGTTTCCTCTTAATTTCACAGAAGGACCCACTATTAATACTTCAAATTAAATATTAATTATGCTGTTTCTCCCTTGAATTTCTTTTCCTAGACCTGTTTTCTAATTCTTCCTTCTGTAAGATTCTACCATACTCCAACTTAGCTTTTTTTTTAAACACCAACACAATTTGCCTAATATTTATTTCCTCAGCATTTGAGGGCATATTCTAATTTTCTCTTTTGCATTTCGATGCATGTTTCACAGTCTGGCTGATGGTACCTCTTCATACACTAAATACAAGTAAGTGCACTTCCCACTAGAGACTTGTGGGCTTTCATTAACCAGACAGAAATTTCTTGTTCTTCACCAGGACATCCCATGTGGGATTCACATATGGATGAATCAAGTTGGAGAGCCAGGTGAGTTAGAGCCACAAGAAAGAATGCTGACCACAGATATCAGTTTTCATATCACCAAAAGAATCTTGCTCAAACTACCTTGATACTTTACAGGTTTAAAAATTCACATGCACAAGCACTAAAAAATTCCTTTCCTTATGTGACCCTAGGCTATCTTTGATTTCTTAAGCCATTATTTTCAAAGGATGTAAACTTTGTGGTATAATTTGCAAATACAAAGCAAAGGTTTCTTTTGAGGGTAGGAGAGTTGGCTATCCATAGACTCAACCAGTTCCTAGGATGGAAGCCACGTGGCCTCCAAGGTCTCACCCAGAATAGACGCTTGAGTTCTGCCTGTCAGCTTGCCTGTCATACGCTCCTGAGGGGTTGAAAATAAGCATACAACCACACCGTGCCTCAATTTCTTCACCTCCAACTTCGTTCTCTGACTCAGTACACCAAACCAATGCTGATGTGGGAGTAGCCAGTGAAGGCAGAATCAACAGGCCAAAAACAGAGGGACTTAAACTCACCCTGGGCGTCTATTCCTCAACCCCACCCATTTTCCTGAAGCATCCCAGCAAAGGAGGTGGGCTGCGGCATTGGGTGAGCTTGAGGCAACAAAATGGACAGCCTCCAAAATCTCCAAACCCTACACCAGTGCAGGCGGTGATATGGCCAGAAATAACAGCAAAGTTGTTTTTTTTTTTAATAATAATAATAATAAAAGCCAGACTACAAGCCTCTTACTAAAATATTGACACGATAGGTAAATGCTTCTTATAAAAAGGAATACACAAGTGGGTTCAGAGCCATAAAAATCTTTGCTTCAGCCTCAGTGCTGTTGGGCTTCCCTGGTAGCTCAGATGGTAAAGAATGATTCCTGGGTCTGGAAGATCCCCTAAAGGAGGGCATGGCAACCCATTCCAGTCTTCTTGCTTGGAGAATCCCATGGACCGAGGAGCCTGGTGGGCCACAGTCATGGGGTTGCAAGGAGTCGGACACGACTGAGCGACTAAAATACAGTGCTGCTGGCTTTTTCTCCATGTAAACAGACTAACTAGTCCTCACTCACTAACCCTATCTTTTGTTACTGGGGAACAAGCACAGTGTTCTCACTTTAAACCCCTTTAAACCCCTCAAACTCCCTCTAACCCAACACTGGCTCAGTGGCTTGCAAAGCAAACTCAGCAAAGCATTATTAGTGTTTAGGAGGATTTCTGTCCCCTCCCCTGTTCAGAACTCCACACCAAATTAATCTGACTCATTCAATCCTATTGAGAGTCTTCATTATTTAAAAGAAAGCACTAAGCTTAAACTTTGTTAAAAGTGATTAAAAAAAAAAAAGCCAAGATATATTCATCCTAAACAGTAACAGATTAACTCCTTACCACTTTCAACACCAGCTGCAGATGGGGTTGATTCTTCATCTGCTGGAACCATCAGCACTGCCAGACTCTCCCCCAAACTTCCTTTTCATTTTAGAAGCCAAGTTCCTAGAAATAATTCGGAAAAAAAAAAAGAATTTTCTTTATCATGGACTTTTATACATTAATCACAAATCCAATGGAACACTGTTTAGCATAAAATTAAGAGTTCTCTCTCTTCCTCCTTCTCTCCCTCTTTTTTAAAATTAACTTGGGAAAATTCACTGTCTTCTCTACTCTGCTCTTCTACCTGGGTATCACTTCAAAAACCCAAGAAACTTCCTCTCTCTTTTCCTTCATCCTTACTTGAAATCTCTCTGAAACATACAAATTTCCCTGGCATCGCTGTAATGTAATCCCAGCCAAATTTCTCCAAACTCTGTTCTCATAGAAATGTAAAATGAGGGGGTTGCACAGGACAATCTCCAAGGTCCCATTTAGCTCTAACATTTCTATATGTGTCTGTGATGATCCAGAGAAACTGGACTCACTCCACATGAGCACCCAAATTGGGGCCTCATTTCTATGTTACTGCTGCCACTGTTTCTGTAAACTTTTTGCTCAATTACAATATAACACACATTTCTTTTTTCCTGCCTTTCTAGGCTAACAGTCCCCTCTTCAATTTGCTTCTTCAAACTATTTTCTTTCTCTAAGAAACCTTCTATATCACTGATAATGTTAACTCCATCCTTCCCATCAAGAACATCACTGCCACATGCAGCCTTTTTCTGACCTAATTGAGGATCTCTTAATAACTCTGTAACACATTCTTCTAACTAAAACAATAGTGTTTACTTACCCTACCATTGACAGTGTCATCCTCCTCATCTATACCATTTATAAGTGTTTCCTAGATGGCAGATGACTAAACATTGCTCATTTAACCTAACAATCTTCTAATGCAGACCTATTATCATCCCCATATTACAGATGAGGAAATTGAGGCAAACAAAGGTGAAGTCATTAACCCAAGATGTATTCCTAATGAGTGAAGGATCCAAGTTTGAAAACCATGCATTATGGGGACAGAGCTTGTACCCTTAACCACCATGATGCACTGCTTCTCTGCTTAAATGATTTCCATGGGCCCTCCCACCTCTAAAATCCTCTGATTACCCAGCTCTTGATTACCTCAGGATATGTAATCTCTTAATTGATGAATTAGGCATAATCAGAGTATCTCCTTTAAGATTGTGAGAATTAAAGAAATTTAATGTAAAGCGCTCAAAACAGTGCCCGGCACAGAGTAAACTGTTGGAGAAGACGTCAGCAGTTATTAATGGGTGAGCTCTCAATTTGCTAATGAACACGCTAAGTTCAGAAGTCAGAGGAAAAATTTAGGACTGGAACCCAGGAGTAACACACCAGCTTTTTCTTCTTCTTTTTTAAAATACTATTTACTAATGCAAGGCTAACTTAAAAGACACAAAGTTTAATACTTTAAAATATCCCATGTCTCGTGTTTCTTAGTCCAGGACTTTATCTATTGAACCACACTGCTCTTGCTAAAAAGCAAATTCCAGGGAATCACCAAGTCTGTATTGGCCTGTCTGCATCTCCTGATGCACAGCTGAGCTTTGTTAACCTGCAAGTCGGCAATGATTGTTTTTGGAAGATCAAGATTACCAGACCCTTCACATCTATTAAGAATGGCCCATGTTGAATACAGGTTTAAAGTTTTTTCAAATGGTGATACTATTTTGATGAAATGTATTTCTCACAGAAGCCCCATACTTGAAAATGAGCCCATTTTATATGTATTAACTGAAAAAAAAAAAAGATAAAAGGTGTTCAAAAGGAAAGATCTCCTTACCTGTATAAACAAAACTGGGCTATTTCTATCTTTAAATCAATGTGACATATTAATATAATAACAGTAGTTTCCAGCATGCATTTGTGTACAGCAAAGAATCAAAGAGCTTGACATTAACATAGGTGAAGCTGAGCTGCACACTCTAGAATTTTACATAGAAAGAATCCCTTCACTACTGGAGGTATTTTTCTGTTAGTGTCCTCATGGCAATAAATAAACACACATTTAGTGAGAAACAAATGCTATACTAATATACCATAAAAGTACTACATTACTTGGTTAGAACATAGCTATTGTGGTAATTACTATTCAAAAGGTAAAAGAAACATTTTAAAGAAGTACATAAATCTGGCAATTCCAAAGACAATTAAAATAAAATATCTTGGTACAATTTGTAATTTCATAATTGATATCATCAACATCAGATTTGCAGTTTGCTTATATAGTGATACTGACTACCTTGATTTCCTCTCAAGTTCTTTTCTGAGAATCCAAGTTTTATTTCTGTGACCTTCTTTAAGCAACATTCCACCTTGCCCCAAGGTCAGAACCACAAACTTTTCATCAGTTAGCTCAAGTAAATAAAAAGGAACACGTCTTCATTTTTTAATGTCTATTGTGCTTTTCTTGTAGTTTAAATTCTAGGATTTTAAATGCATTTAAAAAACATTGAATAGTATTTTTGTACAGGATTTTCTTTTTATGCCAATTTATGTCTTACTAATCATATTCCTAAGAACTAAAGCACCACCAAGAACTTTAAATTTGCCCTTAGATCAGAGAAATTCTAAATCTATGATTCCCTCTTGTACGCACACAAAAATATTATCTCAATGAAATTTTATTTTATCAATATGTGTGGTATTTTTGGCATCAAAATATTGAAGCCCTAAAGGGTTTGGGGGGGTGGTTCTAATTATGTATTATGGAAAGTTTCAAAGAAAAGTAGAAATAGTATAACAAATATGCATGCATACATCATTTCTATTTAAATGGTTATTAACATTTAATTATTATTTGCTTCGTCTCCCTTTTTTCTTTGCTGAGGTACTCTAAAGGAAATTACAGACATCATGGCATTTAACTCCCAGATACTTCACTGTGTTCATCTAAAAAGTAAGGATATTTTCCCACATAATCAGAATGCCACCAAAATAACAATAACTCCCTATTACCCAGGCCATATTCTAATTTCTCTACTTGGAATATGATTTTCTTGATAATATTTTTTAAGTCTTTATTCTCTCATCAGTGAAAGTGTATACGTTCTTAAATAAAAGCCCCCTCTAAAGGGGCTAATTCCAATCACTTGTGCTAGGAAAGCAATGCCTACCCTGACTGCTCCAAGCCCGTTATCTGACCGACCATCAGGCACCATCTAATCTCGCTCTGTCTATTGGCGATGTCACGTCACATCAAACACTGATGAGAACTGGATAAAAGAGTCTGTGGAATTTTAAATAGGTATCTCCCCTCAATAATCAGTGGGCACTGGTGAGCAAAGAGAGAGTGGGTCAAGGGACCATAAACCCTGAATATAGTGACACAGCTTAAAATGGGGTCATTTTGCCTCCTCATTCACTACAGGTCTGTCTAGCCCCATCCACACAAGAAGCTAAGGTGGTAATTTTCTATGCAGTCAAATTCATTGAAATTTGGAGGAAAAAATTCACTTTTCCTTCAATTATTTGGTTAATTCGCGAAAAGTAAAATTATAATAATCCATGAGGGGGATGGAACAACTGGATTATTTGGATTTTCTCGGAGTGATGAATAAAGAGGCTTTTCGAAGGGTTCAGGAAGGAGACTGGAAATTAACCTGATATAAATTTTGAGTTATGCTTTTGTCATAAAGACTAGGGCAAAAGACCTCTCTTATACTTTTATAGGAAATAGAGGAATAAAGAAAATAAGTAACCTACCTAAGTTTATCTTTCCTCTACCATCAACAAACTATTTGTTTTTCTAGAAATGATCACGTCTTCTATCCATATCTATATATCTATATATCTTTGTTTCTCAAAAACTCACGCAAACAAAGGAAGATGGTCACTCAGGCTTTTGCAAGCTCCGACACTTGAAGGCTGTTCTTCCATGCTATTCTCGGCGAGACCAGTGCTTACAACAGCTAAACCTCTTCCTTTCTCTACTTTACCTTTGGCATCTTCTCCTTCTCCCTGAAGCCACAAAGCCACCTTAAAAATGTTGTTCCCTTATTCTTTTAAAATTGTTTTTTTTTTTCTTTTGGTTTACCTATGACTGAACCAGTTAAGGAAATACAAATTTTAGTTTGTTCTCGGAGGTAAACTGGGTGAGGAAAAGATAAAAATACCTTACCCTTTCCTGTAACCAAAGTGTACCATATTATATTTTCTCTCTTTTTCTTTTATAATAAGGGAACTACAGCAGAAATATGAAGTAGAAAAGATTTACTGACAGTATCAGAATTGAGTAAGGCATGCTCAGCAACACTCAGCCATGTGCCTCCCCACCAAGAACCTCATTCTAAAAGCCACGCCAAAAATAAAATAGATAACCAACAAAGGGAAAAAAAAAAAAAGACACGCCAATATGCCCACTGTACATTTACAAAAATATATGTGTGGAAATGTTTACATTTGATATGATAATTTAGGTGGAGGAAATTAAAGTGAACTACTACCAAAAATGGGACCAACAGACAGTATGGGAAACCAGAATCCAAAGACAATCTTATATTTTTGCCTTTAGTCATAAAAATCTTTCCGGAAAAATAAATCACTTAATAGTTGGCTACCTCCCCTTACCACTCTTCTGAATTTAAAGGCAAGAAAATTGGAAACTGTGAAAGAAGTTTTTTAAAAAAAGAGCTGTAAAGGACCTAAGGAGATCTAAAAACTCAGAAACCAGTCCCTGACAAGTGACCTTGTCTGCACAGTCACTCAAGGTATGTGTGGATGGACAGACAGGCGGCGCGTCCATCCTTACCCCTGTGGTCGTCACATTCGACGCCCTCCTACCCTCATTCAATGGGATGTTACAAGAAACAACCTCAGCACACACACATACACATCAAAAAACATTAATTGCTCACAAAAAAGGTAGCTTTCCCCCTGCACAGAGTAACTAAGTGAAGTTTACAGTATAAGTAGTCTTATAATTACGCCGTCCTTTATAGCACATCCAAGAAACAGGATGTTAGCATCATTTACTCATCAAATAAGTGTTACTAATTCTCACTGCATAGGACATTGGTAATAAGACATTGGTCTTT